GTTTTTTCCCAAAACGCATAAGTATACTGAACTGTGCCGCCGCACAACTCTCAAGCTACAATAAAGAAACCACCATACTACAGTTTATTATCGTTCATAAAAGAATAGACATAACATTCCTTTTTTATTATTCTTGATACAAGAGAAAAAACAGGAAAAAAGTGTGTGACTGAGTATTATTTCCGATCAATATATAATGACGACGAAATAGAAAAGTGCATTTACACTATAATTTTTCAATTAATCAATCTATTCAATTTTACATAAAAATTTTTTCTATTGTCACACAAATACACTAAATAATTCTACATGTTTATTTAAAATAAATAGACAAACGATAGAATTCGAATTGTTGTTATTTAGTAAATGTACATTATGTTACACTTATCAGATAAATTATGAAGAAGTACTTAGTTATACAAATCGATACATTATCGCTAAGTGGATTTCTATTTGATCAATAATAATAATAACAATAATAATAATAGCATTTTCTCGTTGTCTTCATGATGATTCCATTAAAGACAATTAGATTCTTGAAAAATACAAGAAAATAAAGAAGACTAGTACTATAATGTATGTAATCATGCGTGTTAATATATACGATTTTCTTTATGATGATGTTCAATGAATCTGTCATATATATATGTCGAAGTTCAAAAATTATCAACAATTATTTCTTTTTGCATTTCATGGACTCATATCTCATTTACATACTTACACTATTTATATTTAAGAAAAAAAGCGATGAGTTTATAACATATAAGCAATAAAAATGAATAAAATAAATTAGAAAATTGTCATCGATCAATTTTTCATATTATGTGAATTAGAAATAGATAAATGACTTTTTTTTTCCTACATAGATGTAATCAGCGAGATTTAACAAGAAACAAATGTATTACGTAACAGATCAGATGGAACATGTGTGTCCTTCTAGTAAATAAGTAAAAGGCTAATTATCATTTTTTTAATCTATTTGAAGTGTGTTGTACTTTTTTTTTCATTATTTAATGAAGCTTTACAACTTTTCATATATCAACAAAGATAACCTAGAAACCTATTATTTTGAAATAAGTGACAATAAATCAATTCTCAACAATTTTACAATTTCAACAAAACAAAAAAATGATTTTTTAGTTGTTAAATAAATATAATTATGAATATGTAATTGATAGATCAAACTATATAATATACTTCTATTATTTAATCGAAATAATCAAAAAAATACATAGAGGGTTCATATCAATCGATCTCCCATTTAAAATATGTCAACATAACATTTTTTTTTTTCTGTTTTCTTTTTCTTATCCTTACTCATCATCATATCAATATCAAATGTGTTAAAAGACCAATTAATGAATATATATATATATAAATACAGGTCATCATACTCTATCTTATTTAGTTTGAATATTAATATTAATGTCTATGTTATTAATAATATTGATTGTAAAACTGGAGTTTTAATCGTTTTTTATTATTGTTATTCATTGATTGAACATTGTCAGATCATTTGACACGTTTACGAATATTGTTATTCTTTCACTGGTACTTAATCATGTCCTTCAGACAATAGACTGTATATATAAGAAGTGTAGAAAAACAAAAATTTTCGATGATTGGTGATTGAAAAGAAGAGGGATGTTGTATTAGACAATCGATCACTTATAGACAACATGTGTAGTTGTTAAGAATACACAAGAAAAGTAAATAATATCTTACCTCAATTGATATTGTTATTGGATTACACTTAACATAAGCTGATTGTTCTGTACCGCATGAAGAAAACCATGTAGACCATCGTTTTTTCCATGATAATGGATTTTTCATTGATATTCGTTGTTGATGACGTTGAACACTTCCTGAAATATTTTCTTGTTGAATATTCGGATTAGTGATTGATACCGATTTGACTCGTCTCTTGTTTGATAACGATAATGATCCTAACGGCTGTTGCTTCGCTGTTTCCTTTTTCTGTCGATGATGATGATGATGATAATTGTTATTATTATTTGAATTGATCGTTGTTAGGTCAGAAGTCAGTGCTTTGTGATGTTCCATATCTTTATTCTTCTATGGATTGTTGTATACAATAAGAAATGAATACAGGTCATGAAAGAAGAAAAGATAACTGTTTAATCATTTCTTTTTCTTCTAGTCTTTGCTATAGTTTTTTTTACTTGATAAATTGAACATTGATGGTAAATTAATTAGGATAGCAAGAATGCGAAATAAGACGAGAGAAACTTTAATGATGATGATTGTGTAAAAAAAAAGAAAATGAGAACAACGAATGATCTATATATGTTGATATATGTATCTATGCATGCATGAAGACCGATGGTCAAGCCATCTATCATGGATAATCGTGTTATTATGAGATGTGTGTGATTATTATTTGAGGACGTATGAAGAAGAAGGAGGAGGAATAGTTGGTTCACCAACAATAATGGTTAAATAGTGACAAACCTACAATTGACAAAAAAGAAAGAAAGAGAAAAAGAGAAGAAATCAATGACATTTGGATGCGAAAAAAGAAGCGAATATTGGGACACGAAGCAGACAGGTGATGACAGTTGAATAGGTGTCGTGATACACATATATAAATATGTTATTGAATGTATTTTGAAAGTATTCATGAATAAAGAAGAAATAAAAAAACTATTTAATCTATTCTATGATCACAACATTCAATATTTCAATGATGAGTTATTTTTTAAGTAATCTTTTTCATGAGATGTCATATATTAACATTAACATTGTTATTTTTGATATAAAGATAGATATGTCATACACTTACTTAAAATCCTTCTGGCAAATGATCATTCATTGATTCTATCAATTTATCTGTCATTTATTGAATACATATATATATATATATCATATGAAGTGAACATGCATATATAGATGAGTTTTGTTTTGTCACTATTTTCTATGCTTTTATTTGTTAACTGATGAACTAAAAAAATAGTCACTATTGATGATGTAATATGTATTCATTAATTGCTCTTACTATAGTATTGTTGTTGTTATTTTACATGGTAATCATGATGTTGTCTCATATACGGTTCATGAAATTTCTCATTAAATAAAGAGTTGATGAGAAAAGTAAATTATATCATTGCGAGCTCTTATAGTTTTCTCTTTTTTGTACGTATCTACGGCGTAAAAAAAATATGTATGTATATATATATAAATCGATTCTCGTTTAAATGGCAAAGTTATATTTACACGTGGATTGTGATTTATGATAAAAAAAAAAATGTAAATTTGATGTTTTTGATAGAGACCATATTGATGTTGAATATGGCATAGCAAAGAAGAATGTCATGGATTGTCAAAGATTAGTTTGATTTCAAGAGAAATTTTAATCTAAAATTGTATTGAATATTACTGATAGAATGTAAAATGGTGTCGACTTGGATAATATTCATATGTTTAAAGAAAAAAAAAAGAGTATTTGTCTTTATTCTCTCTATATAGTAACGTGAAATGATTTATATGAAATTACCTATTGACACTTTTATCAGATGAAATATCGACTATTCTTTATTCTATTTGCTTCATAAAGTGAGATAATAAATACAAAAATCCTTGTCAAATGCTTTACATTATGAAAAAATGTGGTTTTTTTTCCTGATGCAATGACAAATACGTTTTTCTTTTGTATACAAAGAACAAATAAGCTTTTATAGTAGAGTGAATAAAGGAAATGATTAATTCCGATAACTTTTTTGTAAAATTCTCTTTGTCTATCATACTTGATTTTTTCAAGTGATAATATTTCCTGCAGGCAAATTCAGATAATAAATACATTAATAATTCCTATTTATGACATTTTGTGGTACTTTCATTAAATTAATTAATCGAATTCTTTTACGTATGAAATCAAAAGATTTTCTTCTTTTGTACACATTATAGAATGAAAATTATTAAAAAAATATGCACTGATTTTCATCAATAATACGACCGGTGTATTATTTAAGTATAACAAAAAAAAATTTGAACAATGAATTCACATGTTATCTGATTCTCTGAAAATAAATTTTAAATCAAAGAGTTCAAAGGATATTTTTTATTTGATAGAAGTTGTTCAATTCTATCTTGTTGATATTACTGGTTGAGATGTTTTTGAAAATAGACTATGTCGCATTTAAGTGTACTTGTTCATAGTATGTTTATTTAACACATACTTCGCGTGTACAAACTACTTTTACAGAACAGCTGGTTTACTACACTTAGACTTTTTTCGAATATTTCGAAGTATGTGTAAACACTGCAAATACCCATTCTGGATTACGATTTTTCAATTCAACTGGAATAAAAGTTTTTTTTAGACACATACATCCACAATTACTTCGATTTTTAATAATACAAAATGTTTTACAAATTCATATCTGAATAACTATCCTTATTGTTAACAATTAAAACCCAGACAACCATAAATGTTCGTATGATATTCGTTTCTAAGTCAATCTTTTTTGAGATTAATTTACGATATGTTGATGATTATTTGCTGAAAACAATGGAAAATCCATTGTTGTTTCAAGAAAGTCACAAAAAAAATGATAAATGATGTATTCGTTTTATTGTTCATTGATCTAATTGATTGGACGTCAACTAATGACTATAATGTCGATATCTTCTAAATACTAAGCTCATATTTTTTAATAGTTCATAGTCTTTGTTTTTTGTATATTTATCTGGAAATAAGATAGAATAAAAAACAAACAAGAACAGCAAGCAAGTGGATGTATCTTAATTGAGTTGATCATAGAATTTAATAACAAGCAGAAATATTATGATGTACAAATGCTATACTATACAAAAGCAAAATGATTGATTTACGTAACAAAAAAAAAGCACTATGGTGTAATGTAATATAACACTAATGAACTTTATCAATAATGATAATGATATAGTAAACAATTTTATCAAAATGATATAAATTTGATCGCAACCTGAGAATATAAAAAAGAAAACATATCTTTATTCTTTTAAAAATAATCAGGTTTTCTTTTGAATTTAACTTTTCCAGAAGTACTTCCTATTTTATTGATGTCGTTTTCAGATTTTTCAATAATATTATTAGTATTATCTTCAAGTGAACATTCAAAATTTTTTATCCATGGATCAAATACATCATTATCATCGTCATCATAATCATTAGTTTGAATAGTAATATGATTTGTTCGTCTCGATTCTGGAGATGTATTACTCATAGTTGATGTCGATGGTATAAATTTTCGACGTATTGGACTTTCATATTGTTTTTTAGTTCGATGATGATATGTATGAGTAAAAGATGACGGTTGATTTTTATTAGATCGAAAATATGGTGAAGGACTTGTAGAATATTTTACATTATTTAGATTAGTATAGATTGGTTCTAATTCTATTTTTTGTCGACTAATACTGGATTTTCGTTCTAAACTTGATACATGTTTTTGATGAGAAGGTGTTAGGTTAGTTGATGTTAAATTATTTCCTTCAAGACTTTTGCCTCTAGATGAACGAATTATTCTAGTTGATGTTGAAGTATTATTCTCTCGACGTGAACAATGTGATGATGATATTGAATCATTATGATGAATATATAGATCTTCACACATTTGTTGTTGTGGAACTTTTAATGTTGATAATTGAGATTCATTATCGTTTAATTTCCATGTAAGTGTTAATGTTACTGTATCAGTTCCACCGAATATATCCCATGATAAAACATAACGACAACTTTCTTTAGCCATTGTTCGAAGAAAATTAATAACAGGACGAGGTAATTCAAGTACATCCATTAGATTAAACCATTTTTTCAAAAAAAATAATACATATATATATATATATCTGATAGAAAGAAAAATGATAATGATTTTTTGATAAGAATAAAGGAAAAAAATATTCTGACTTATATCTTGTTACTCTCGCTATTTTTTTTCTCATCAATAACAATAGAATTGTTGTTATTGCTCTCTATCTCTTTTTCGTCATCGTTCTTTTTTTCTTTCCCCTGTGAGGACATGCACATTCTGAGTAAACACAATTTCTTTATATTCTTCGACGAGACTCAAAAATCTTTCTATTTTCTACTCTGACTACTGAATGAATATACATGCGTGTGCAATAATAACGTTTCTTGCTGATGTCACTTTGTTTATATCAAACAGAAAAAAACTTCTTTATCTGCTTATATTTATCATAAAAATCGACAGCAATTGATCTCCGATTGCAAGAATGGAGCACAGTTAGATCTATAAACAAATGTTATTTTTCTTCGTGAAAGTTTTTCTTTTTTTTTACATTTGATCTGATTCTTTGCTTATGTCAGTTTGATTAAGAAACAAAAATGACAAGTAATTCTCTTAGGCATACAATAAAATCACAGAAATATACATTATATTAACAAGAAGCAAGGTTTTTCTTTTCTGTCTATGTTATCATATCTTTTTCAATGTAAAATATTTATGTTATGTTTTCATCAATGCAAAGAACACAGAAATAAACAATAAGAAAGAAAAAATAATAATAATAATCCTTGGTTTTCTTTTTCTTAGATAAATAATAGAGAAGAATAGCCGGAAACGTATATTATTAAAACTAGACTATATTCTTTATTCTTTTCGGTTATAACAAATTTTTCGTCTTACGTACTTTTTTATGACAATATGTTATAATGCATTTATTTAGTTAATTCAATTTTCTTTTGTTAATATATTTTTCATCATTGTCATACTAGAATGACAACGATGAACGAAGTATTTCATTGATCAAAGAGTCCTTAGGGTTGATCGTCGTATACATAAAAGATATACAGTTATATTTATGATAAATAGAAGAGTACTATATTGTGGAAATCAGATACCACATCGTTTATGCTCAATAAGATTGTATATTTTAAAAAGATAATAACTTACATGATTATCAAACTATATTTCTTTATACTATGTATGTATTTTATGATTGACAGTTTACCCAATATAATCATCGCTAGAAAGATTGTACAAATATAAAAAGAAAGAGAGATGCCTTAAGAAATAGTGATGCCAATAAATGATAACACATCATCAATATTACTGTCATTTACTAATAGAGTTAATGCATGTTTGACGACATTATCATAGAATTGATCATTAAAGAGAAAAAAAAGTTTATGAGAACTTCGTTCATTTTTCTTCGAAATGATCGTTGTCGTGCGACTGTCATATTCATTCATTGTTTTTTGAAATGAACACAATAAAAACAAATCTCAGGAGATTTATACAAAAAAACAAGATGGCTAAAAATCAACCTATATTGTATTTAATACGAAATATAAAAAGTATAAAAGAATTCTTTTTCAAATTGTTTAATAATAGTTTGCTACAGTGTCTGACATGCTCTTGAATGCAATATGTGAAAAGAACAATTGTTTATCTTAGGAAAATGAACAAGAGTTTTCATGAACATTGTGTATTCTAAGTTATAAAATAGGCAGATTACATTACAGACAAAATAGTTTTAAAAAATTTTAAGTATCAAAGTATAGCTCGTGGATTATCAAAAAAAATTTTGCCTTTGAATGTACTATAAACACTAGTTGTCTTTTTCACATAAATCATCCGTCAGCATTCAGCTTATACAAAAGTTGTACTAAAAACAAAAGTCGTCCAGAAAAAAACCTTCCAGCTGACATGACTTAAATGGAAATCAATCATAAATACAGTGTTAATTGTAATATTCATCTACAATCACTAAATGCAATGCGTTTATCATTTTCTTTCATCTCCTTGTTCATTTTTTAATCAATTTGATATCTGCCTTAGTACTTATCATAGTAGCAGAGTGGATGTAGGTGTGTGTAGCATCTATCTTGTACGCTTCTCATACCCACACTCACATTCTATAAGTATTCATGATGTTAACTGCCCAAAATGCGAGTAAAAGACCAGTCTAAAGTCAGGTTTTCGATTTCTTGAAATTGAATCTATGACTTCTAGAGGTAAGAGAAATAATCGCTAGGTAGAACAAGTCACAGTATGGTCTATACTAACTTGGCCGACAAATGTTTTACTTTAGACAAATTAATGTTAAAAGATACGTCTTGGTGAAATCTATGCCTGATTAAAAAACGTTATCCTAGAGGGGAGAATTTCTTGAGTTATGAGCACTTTTTGACCTATATTATGTTTTTTTTAGCCTATGTGTTGGTCACTCCGATAGCATGAGTTTGTAACGTATCCTATTTTGTATCTAATGAGAGGTCTCCAAGCTGAAAGAGTCAAGCTACTCATGAGATGATATCAAAATACAGAATATATTCATTTCTAGTGAGTTTTAGAGGTCCAAATAGACTTTTTATACTTGCTTTAGCTCGTATTTTTCATAGACAAAACTTAAATGACCTATTGTTTTGAGTTTAACTATGGTTCGAATATATCTTCAACTTGAAAAAAATAAAATCAAAAAATTTACTGTTCTTCAGCTGCCTATTCTTTGCTTTTTTTTCATATTACTATACAGATCTTAAAAAGGACATACTTATTCAGTAAAACATCGTATTCAATAAATGAACTGGTTTTATTGTGTTTTAGAAATTAATTGTAATTTTATAATAAAAATAAAATGGCCATAAAATATCCTGATAAAGATGAAATACGACATAATCCGTGTTACGAAGATATTATTGTAGAACCTTGTACAATGTTAATGCCTATTCAAGGTTATGAAAAAAAGTGCTTGGTTTCCCTTGAAGAAGCTGTTGAACCTACAGTGTAATTTGTGCTCGATATCACACGAATGACATATGTGGCCAAAATCAAATGCAAAAAAATTTATAGCAGATAATCTTTCAATAGATGAATCAGCTTTGATAATGGTTTTTTCAATGGACTGAGAACCACAAGAAGAATGCCTTTATTTTGTTTTAAATACAATTCTCCGTAATGAAAATCGTAAAAAAATTAATTTCCTAGTTTGTTTATTTGAAATTAATTCTGACTGTATCGGCTCACCTTCCATCATTATATCGTTCCGTTTATCATGGAATAAAAGATGACGTGTGAAAAGATTATCTGAAAGAAGAAACAATCATTTAGTGAGGATCTAGTTCATGTATCATTGTGATGGATGTTTTTGAAACAGGAACGATTTTTAGATTCAATAGAAACAAGAAGTTTTTTTACTATTGAATCTTCTTTCAATACTTAATCGGTAACCAGAAGATACAATCATGTTCTGATTTTTTTTCAAGACTGTTTCCAACACTCCTTCATCAATAACCGTACCAAAGAGCGGGTACTGTAATTCTTCTTAATCATACCATAACGATAAATTTTCAGTGTGGATTGAACCTATACCTAACGTATGAATTTAAATTAGTTTAGATCTCAACAAAAATTTTCCTTTGCCGACCGTATATAGTGTCACACTTGACCTATCAATGTTTTTCTAATGATGTCATTTACCCATAGAATAAGAATGTTACAAAAACAAAATAGTTCATAATGCCGGATTCCTTTAGATAGAATCAGATCTTTAACAATATTTTAAAAGAATAGAGTTCAATGTTATCATTAAGAAAAATAAAGATCTGTCGAAGAAAAGAAATTTATGTTTTTTACGTTGTCTCATTTGAATCTCCTTCAGTTAGATAAAAGGAATATCTATGTATTGAAAATGGTATTGAGCTAACGAAAAGATTAATAAATATAATTTACTGATCTAAATAATTTTCTCATTAGTTTTTGATTACTCATAGTTTTAACTAAGAGTCGTAGAAAAAAAAATGTCACGAAAGCAATAGTCATGCATTCAAAAATTATAAATTGTGTATAATACTTATTGTTAGTCATGACAATTATCTGTTTTTCAGAAAAGAATTCTACAAAAGAACTATTTTTCTAGTTAACTTGACGCTCAATATGGTATTCCTTTGAAATTTTTTTACTTTAGAATTAGTTTAGTATAATTGTCATTTAACTTATTGTGATAGTTCTTTTTTCAATTAATGAATGTCACAATAATTTGATACATTTGCACTTGGTCGTTGTAAAAAAATGCATTCAGCAAATGACATTAGTAAAATGTAAAGTGTACATTATTTGAACATAGCAGTTAAAAGTAGCAGTGTTTACCGTGAAAAATGGTTCATGAATCTGAATATTGTTTTTCGATTGAAAAGAGTAACATGAATGCCTAGAAACCCTAATTTAAAATATTTCTGTTGTTTTTTGTCAAATATTTGTTAATATTAGAACGAAATCCGTCTCGGTAAATTAAATGCGTGCCGTAGTCTTATCAAAAAAATTGATGATAGGCCGCCATCATTTGCTCTTATCGTAGAACCAATTACAAGTTCCGGTTTTTCATGAAAAACTAATCCATCAGAATCCAAAGGAATTGAAAAAATATCATGCACTTTTATACGACCCATTAGTTCACAATGCAAAGTATTAGAGTCAATTAGAGAATTGAAATAAACTAGCACGGTGGTATTTCAAAATGATTTACTTGATTAAAACCATTACCATTTTATTTAGTTAAAGACATATAGAACAGTTTAATATTTGAAGTTAACCGATATCAATGATTTGACAGTTGACAATATAGCTTTGCAATCTTCTATCCTACAAGTTTTCTAATAAAAGAGAATATCATAGAGTTCTTCGTGTAAACATGACAAAAAATTCGTCAAAATCTGATTTTTTAGAAATAATGAAACATTAACAAAGGAATTAGGGATCATCACGAGGATATTCACTCTAGAATAACACGAGTTATTCATCTTTCTAAATTTTTTCTATAATTCAATTATTAAACC